CTTCGGCTTCTCGGAGGGCGCGGCCAAGCCGGGCCTGGGCCCCGCGCAGATGGGCGTTCTCTTCCGTGTGCTCATGCAGCGCCTGGGCCACTTCACGTTCTATGTGCACGGCAGCGACTGGGGGCACGTCATTGGAGCTTCCCTGGCTACGCTATTCCCCGAAAGGTACTGATGCGTTGTCGAACCGGTAGGTTCTAAGATTCCGATTCTGACTTTTGGCGGTTTTTCGAGCAACGCTCCAGCTAAATCGAGTTTAGGCTGGCTGCTCTGATCAGTAGTGTTTCGTCCGGTCGATACAAGGCGAATGCCGGACCAGAATTTGAACTAACCGGACGCAGATCGCGCGCGTTCGCTTCTTCCTCTTCCTTGTCCCTCTGTGTATATAATCCAACATGCACTACTCATGACTGGAGCCAAGAGCTCTTTCCGGCTGGAGCGGAGCCACGCGGTGCGAGATGCGTGGGTGGATGAACCCAGCAAGCCGACGTTTAGGTCGGTGCCGGATGTCATTATCCAGTAGTGTAGAACGCCCGACCCCCGTGATAAAAACATGCACTGTAACTACGGTACTTGTGCCCATACTAAACATGCCGGGAAATGTGAAATAATCAATTATTCAATCAATCAACGGAAAGAACAGTCTGACCACAACTTTTTTCTGCTACTATCTGTCAGTATGCTATTTCAGTACTTCGAAAGGTTTCTGGTTTGTTTGTTTTTTCGAAAACTAGTCCTTTCCCATTCTTTCCCTACTTTATCGCGTATTGGTATATTTTCTGAGTAATTTTTTAAGTAAATTTATAGAAATATGGAACAAATTGAAAATAAAAAGGTACAATAAAAGAGACATTAATTACATAAATGTTCAAATTATAATAAAAGAATGTGGTAAAATTCCATGGACCCTTTGAGTTTCATGAGTCCCGGAGAATGTACCGGGCGCACCCTCCTCTCCTCGGTCTTATTGCAAAACTCTCTCTTAATATGAGAGTTCCCTTAAGCGAACGGATCTCATTCATAAACAGCCCCCAATTGGATTCTGAAGTGAACACTCATTTCTATAAGGGAGCTTGCTCTCTTAAGTGACCCGTATGGTTGTCTCGCCTCATCAGCCGTAAGAAATTTAGGTTATACTCGTATTGTTATGCGGCCTTCACTGACTGTTGTATTAGTTTTATTAGTCCATAATAAGAATGACCTCTTTAATATTTATTTTATTTTTGGTACGCAAATAACTGTTAATGTTTACTATATGAATTTGTTTTTTCAGTGTTTTGGGATTCCACACAAATATGGTGTATTCAAGTTCAATGTTAACCAGATTCAAGATGATGCTGGGTAGCATTTACCCGAAATTTGTTGTTGATTCAGAGCATTGCAGTAAGGTTTATCCAATGAGAAAGCATGTGGCTGAACTCTTGCATGAAACTGGATATTTTCACTTACATGCGACGAAACCAGACACCATTGGTATGCCGCGTTTTGTTTATAAGTGGATATTTAATTTTGATTAATTGAGTCAAACAATTTTAATGATTCAGTGGATTGTATATTGGCATTTCTGTGGAATTCTTTCTTGAATCAGTAAATATTTTTAGGTGTTGCCCTTCAAGATTCTCCAATAGGATTAGCAGCATATATACTTGAAAAGTTCTCCACTTGGACAAATAATGAGTGGCGAGAACTTTCTGATGGTGGCCTTGAGAAAAAGTATACGTTAACTAATTTGTTGGATAACGTTATGATATACTGGATTACTGGTGCAATTACTACTTCAGTAAGACTTTACAGTGAAGCATTCTCTAAAAAGAATCCGGCTGCAAAACTCGACAGGTACGTTTCCAATTATATATTTACCTTCAATAATTTTCTTAATATTCGTATTAATTCTCCCATATAACGATTTAATGTAAGTTTATCATTTTATTCATAGATGGAATGTGACAGTTATTATTAACTAATATGTTCCCACGATGTTATTTATTACTCGCACAACATTTTTTGAACGATACCTGAATCCTCCCTCCCTTCTGCAATAAACTACAGTTGAAGGAAAAGCTCGCAAGTGGGCACTGTGATGACAACCTTCCCAAGGCATTAAACTTGTTGCGCGAAACAGAAGCTTATCAAAGCCAATGCTTTCATAGTTGCAGAAACCCTGTTCAGTTTATTGTAAATATCGAAAGAAATGGGTGTGTCAGGTCAGGTCATTCAAGGAAGACTCAGTAAGAAATCTCCCGACAAGTTAAACACAAGACTGCAGTTTTCGACTTTCATTTCAAGACCGTTGGCTTAGTAAAGATACTTAGGGCTGGACTTTGTAACTAATATCCCCACTCCACGCAAAATCGTCAATCCATCGTTCAAGAAAAGTTGCCCGAGTAATACCTCAGACTAGCTGAAGTACTTGGCATTGCCCATGTATTATTCTTCACAAGCGTACATGAGAAGAATTAAGGTTATTTGTTCATGGCATCTCAATCTATAATCGTGCAAAATTTCGTTTAGATAGGTTTAGTATTGAAATTGAGCTTTCCTTACTCCTAATTTTATTTAATCTATTTAATAATATTTTTTTCGCCCTTTCCCAGCTCACTAATTTGTTTACTATTTAAAATGTACCATCTCGCTACTTAAGCTTGGAGAGGCAATTGCTCATTGGTCTAAGAAATATTTATATATGTCTTAGATCGTCAGACTTGCTCGTACAGGAATTCAAGTTGTGAAAATAGTTGGATTTGAACTACTTGAAAATAACACATTAGTCGTCCCGTAATTTTAAAATTGCAATGCAGCACATTTCTCATAGCTCCACTGTCGACACAACGAATACAACACATAACAATAACCATAACAATACTCTATAATAATTACTTTTATTTCAAGTATTTACAAACTTATTCACACAACTTTCTCACTTATACGATATTCATTAATTTACTCATGACCATGCGATATTTAATTCTCTCTTATACTACTTATTTCGCTTCATTTGCACACAACTTTATCTTACTACATTAAACGTATTTAATGTTTTTGCACTTTCCTAGATGTCGACCGCTGTACTCTCTGTTGGACCGTTCCAATTCCATGGCATCCACAACATCTTTCTTAATCCTCGTCCGAGTTAAAATTTTAACTCCAGTCCGACATTTCGCAATTACCTTTTTAAAATTCACTCCATGTATTATTTCAGTGTTAACGTGCCTCTATCTACCCTTTAAATAAAATTAAAACTCATTTATTCTGCTCTTAGCGAGAAAACTATTCTCACGACAATGCGCTGGCATGTTGCTTTTCACTCACACCGTAGCCGCAACGTTTTTCTCTTCAAATCATTTTATCCACCTTTGAACTATCTCTTCCTGTCCGAATGTTATCCAGTTTCTTTGCTAGATTCTGTGCATCAGAGAGTATATGTATGCTGCGCATCATGTCCATTTGTCTTCAACACCGCTTCCTCCCATTAGCTGTCACTCCCTAAACATTATCTAATTTTTCGATAATAATCTGCCTTTTTTATTGATTGCTGATTTTTACTAAGCACGGAAATTATTCAGTGTCCTATTAAAACCTATACACTTTATTCTTCACTTTCAATTTTGGCAATTTTTGCGTTGGTCCTAAAATAGGGCCAGAATAAACCATCACAGTAAAGTCTTACACAAAGGACGAACCATAGTTATAGATAATGTAACGGTGCCATTTTCTTTCTCTCAATTAATTTTTATAACTATTACATCTATTTAATTGGCTAGCTCGACTTTGATTGTATAATTGGGCGCTATAATATTTACTATCTCAGGGCTTTCTCTGTTTCTTTCTTATGAGTTGAAAATAAACCGCTCATACGAGAATCCGGCTGGTGAAAACCTCTATTTATACTAGGAATTTACTAATTTGCTGGTTCCTACTTTGGAAATAACTTCTTTAGTGAATTAATGTTCCGGCGACATGAAGTGTCGGCTTCTATTTATTTATTTGTCTGAATTATCGTTCTTTTCCTAATCACTTATGAACAAAAACTTAATTTTGTTTTACTATGTGTTTTCTTCCTAAAGATGTTGATGGCCATCAAAAATTTATTGTAATTAGTTTCAATATTGTAATTAGTTTTTAAAATCGTCCGCATTCTTCTTGACCTGCTTCGCGATTAATATTAGTTTTAAACATTCGCGACATCCATTTTCGTCTAATTAATCACGTTCTCTTCTGAATTTAAACTTTTATTAGCAAATTTTTACTGCTCACGGCGACGCATCCTATCTCTACCATATCTAGAGGAGTTCTGATGTTCTTTTTTTTTAATTTTGAAACAACTTGTTTTTGATTTTTACTTCTTTACTTTTCTGGTTGCTCCAATGCTAATTTGTCCTCTGTAACTATACCATTTGTGTTATATTGTCTATGGTAATGTACTAACTACATGTACAAACTAATATTTATTAAATAGTTTACTAAGATTTTCAATACACGAGCGAAATCACTTTTCTTGGCGTTAATTTAAGCCTTAAGTTCCCAACATCTCGCTTCTGTTCATATTTCTTGTATTTCTCTTTTCTGTCCATGACGTTTTATCGATGATATTTTAATTTTATACACAAAATATTCTAAAGGTATTTTGACTCATCTCAAATGAAACTATACTCTCATTTAAATAATATTTTAATTTCGTTTCCCCACTTTGAGCGAGCTATTTGAACCAGAACTCTCATTTAAATAATATTTTATTTTCGTGTCCCCACGTTGGGCCAACTATTTTAAAACACTCCTTATATTAATCAACTACTTCCTAGCTTTCATTTAATTAATTTCGTTTGGACGGCCATTTATAACATTAATACTTTTCCTACTGATATTGACGATAAACTAACATCGACAAATAACATTTCTCGTCTTACCTGCTGTATGTGGACGTGTAATTCTATACAGAATTACGATTCCTGGAAGTTCAGTGGATCAAAACTAACTATTTAATAAAAGGCAACTATAGAGATTTATTAACCTTTTATATTTTCAAAAATCAAGTTTAACATTTATTGTGACATCTTCACACAATTATTTAGAGCTCATGAATTAAATGATTATTTTTTCATCTGTACAACTTGAATGTTCTTGAATGAACCGTACGGTTTTGAAATAAAAGTTCGTAAGCTTACTGTTGCCTTCTCATATGATCTCGGCTGTCTTCGTGCTTGACGTTGTCCATGGGATGTCATCGCCTCTCCTATTACTGTGTTTTGCCGATCATCAAAAAAAATAGCAATTATTCCCGGAATGTCCTCGACTTTACTTTACTTACGAATATTTTATGTAATTCAATGATTTCTCTCAAATTATTTCGCGAACGCAACTAGCCCTCGCTGTGCTTCGGGCGAAACACATATGAGCGTCCAGTCGACTTATATAAAAAAGAACCTCCCCATTCCAGAGCTATACTTATATAAATCCCTTCGGAAATACGGAGTCTGTTTCAGCTTAAATCCCAAAATTACTTCAATAAAAATTGCAATTATAACTTAATGTGATTATCAACTTTGAACACTTACCCTGCACAACGTTTATCTATAAAAGAAATCTAACCATCATTTACCCGCCTCAAAACTGTTACCAATACCTAACACCACAGACTACACAAATATTCGTACCGTGCCAATTGATTTCATATGTGTAGATGGGCAGCTTTCGAGAGAAAGTGATTAATTTCTTCTGACCATAGAGTCACGGCTTTCAGTGCCATCTCCATCCCTCTCCGGGGCAGTGCCCTACAAATGAACTGCGCTATGACACCAAGCATGGAATACTATACTTCTTGATTCGGAGCCAGATAACGTCTATTCTTTGGATTTTAAACGTCTCTACGCTATTAAACACATCCAAACCTTGCTGTAAATACACACTTTATGCCGTTTTGCCGTTCAAATTAAACCCTGGCGTTCCTGTCTTATCACATAATAAAAAATGTACAGAGATATTAAAACCAAATCGATAGGAAGACATTTTTAATTATTACATTCCGAATATAGTATTATATTTTTAAATTCAAATTTAAAAAGTGCCAGCAAGTCATTAAGGTAAAAATGTACATTACTGCCTGCAAGTGACAAGAAATCGTTTTCAATGTTTTGTAATTTTTACTTTATTGTATTTATGTATATTCGGAGTTTGCTCGTAGTATACAGTAATCGGAGTATACACGTAGTATGAAACGCTGTGGAAAATCTAAATAGATGTTTTTTCGGAAATAATTTTTGGGGTTTCCTGACACCAAAATATTTTTTTAAACTTCTTTACATACTACTTACGTAGTATAGAGAACCTATTGTAGTTTTGTAGCCAAAACAGCGATTTTTCGACAGAAAATTATTTTTATGGATCCCTGATACCGAAAAAGTGGATACATAGAATACATTAGTCCCCACTGTACGTCACATAAAGCTTTCAACTCTTTTGGACATTAAATATTTATTTATCGTTTGCCTTTGGGCAGTTGTTCCGCACGTTGTTGTTGTTGTTTAAGGGCCCTCTCTTCCTCGGAAGAGAATCCCACACGCGGGTCTAGCGACCTTTGTCGAGCAGGCGCACCTCGCGGGCGATCCCCTTACGCCTGGGATGTGACTCTCACTCCCTTCGCTAGGTGTCGGTCTCGGTTAACTATATCCTGAGTCTGGTTACTAGAAAGTGATCTTGGAGATCCCTTGGATGTTGTCGGGGGGATTTAATTTTGCCGCGCGCGCCGTCAGGGTTCTTTTACATGCCCCAAGTGTGGCAATGCTACTGTGAATTTTCCGCCCTTCAAAAAACCGAAGTACCTCGGCCAGGATAGAACCCTT